GGGGCAGGAGTCTTAGGAAAGAACCCCAGACTTCCCTCTCCCCAGACACTTTCTCCAGCTCCTCCGGGGGAATCCAGAGACATTCCTGGGCCAGCTGAGAGACATAGTCCCTCCAGCGCGTCCTGAATCTTCTCCGAGGCCTCCTCCTGATGGGACATGCCTGAAACACCTCGCTAGGTAGGCGTCCTGGAGGCATCCGAAACAGATGCCCGAGCCACCTCAGCTGACTTCTCTCGATGTGGAGGAGCAGCGGCTCTACTCCGAGCTCCTCCCGTGTGACAGAGCTCCTCACCTTGTCTATAAGGGTGCGCCCTGCCACCCTGTGAAGAAAACTCATTTCGGCCTTTCAGTCATGACCCAAAGCTCATGACCATAGGTGAGAGTAGGAATGTAGATTGACTGGTAAATCGAGAGTTTTACCTTTCGGCTCAGCTCCTTCTTCACCACAACAGACCAGTACATCGACTGAATTACTGCTCGGCTGCACCAATCCGCCTGTCAGTCTCACGCTCCATCCTTCCCTCACTCGTGAACAAACCCCAAGATACTTGAACTCCTCCACCTGGGGTAAGGACTTTCCTCCAACCTGGAGTTGGCAAACCAACTTTTTCCAGTGGAGCACCATGGCCTCGGACTTGAAGGTGCTGATTCTCATCACAGCCTCGTCATACTCAGCAGCAAACTGCCCCAAGTGCATGCTGAAGGTCCATGTTCGAAGAAGCCTTCACAATGACATTGTCTGCAAAAAACAGAGATGAAATCCTGTGGTCCCCGTACCGGACCCCCTCCAGCTCAAGGCTATGCTTTAAATTCTGTCCACAAAAATTATAAACAGAGTTGGTGACAAAGGGCAGCCCTGCCGGAGCCCAACATTTATATATTCTTACCTACAGTTTTTAACTGATCATGGTTTTTCAAGGAGCTGAAAAAAATTGGTTTCGATTATTAAGCACACAATTTGATAACCACGACACGTGAATAAATGACAAACTCAGCGCTCATGGTATAAATCATTTTATTGGAGTGTTTATTATGTCATTAGCCAGCCAAGCATCCAATCACACAACAGCTAAACTCTCATGAAAACTCCCGTCATATTCAGGAGCATTTAAAAACAATGGCAACTTAAAAAGAAAAAACAACAACAAAAAGTTATCAAACAGCTCAATAAAAGCAACAACAAAAAATTATTTACATCTTGCTTTTATAAATATGTCAAATGTACATATAATACACAAAGTACCCTAACGGCCAGACGACGCTGACACTTTGAGACCCAAAATCCGGTACCAAAAAAAGTTAAAAACAGAACGGTGTGTGTCTCTCTGGTATACGGATCCTTTCAGAGCTTTACACATCCCAGAGTTCAATAACCCGGCAGTCACAGGGTTTATTATCATATTCAAATTCCCAAAAGCTCATTAATGTAACCTCACGTTATACGCAGGAGCCCAAACTCAACGTATATTTGAAACAATTATGATCATAACGTTGGTTTATGCTCACTTTATGAAGGTCAAATAGTGGGCTGAACACGAGCGCCACGGGAAGCTTTACTGTACATGCATGTTTGCTGCGAATGACCTTCTAGAATTAAAAATAATAATAATAAAACAGGTTTAAACTATGCGTACATTTTAAAAGTTGCATTAAAAAGGAATGGCATTTCTCCTAAAGCTTAGTTAGATGAGGGATTGATGTACAAAACTTGATTATGCAAAATGTACCTGCTAAAAGAGAAAACCCAGAAAGCTTGTTTCTGCAATCTAATAAAATCACAAAAAGTAACTGAGCCTTTTGAGCTCACAATTTACAATTGAGACTTTGCTTTTTATAAATCTAATTTTGATATTTATGAGAAGTTTATATATTCAGTTGCACGAAAAAAAATCTCAGCAAAAATCTTTGCATGTAAAAATGTCAGAAATTGTGAACTTAACATTGTGAGAAAGTCAGAACTTGAATGAAATCAAATTGGAGCTTCAAGAAAGCCTGAAAGTCTCTGGAAGTTCATGTCTGAACTCACATTTTTGTCTCCTCCACACTGCAAGATTTATACAAAAAAGAGATTTTTTTTGGAATTTTGAGAAATTTCAAGAAATAATATCAGAACTACATTTAAAATTGGAATTAATTTATTGTAAATGCGATATAAAACTCAGAAATAAAATCAGAGCTTTGAGATAAATCAAGTTTTTCCTTCAACTCTGATTTAGCATCTACGATGGCCAAGAGAGCTAAATGTGCTGCATTTTAAAAAAACACGTGCTCTTACGTAAAACGCCAGCAAATTAAGAAAGGATCTTCATCCGTTTGAGAGCATACGTGTAGCAAATCCTCAGTACGAATACACATAAAAAAACTCACTGCATTTTCCCACAACACAAACAAATGAATAGAACATGCTGCATTTTCTCACAACGCAAACAATTTATGAAAACGCGCTGCATTTTCTCACAACACTTGCAAAAAAGGAAATGTTTTAAGTGGACTCAAAATTGTGACGGACGCCGCTGTGCCGTGACTATTGCTCAGTGAAGTTGTTGGTGATCTTTGAAAGGTGAGTTTTTTGTTTGTTTATTTTAACATCCTAATTTTCTTGTCTTTTGTGTTTTATTAGCCTAAATAACCTAAATAGCCAGCTCCATCCCTTTTTAGGGTCTACTCGAAGCATTTTTGTTGTGTTCTGAGCTATTAGAAACTGTTGTGAGAAAACGCAGTGTGTTTTTGTAAATCGTTTGCATTGTGGGAAAATGCTGTGTTTTTTGTAAATTGATTTTGTTATGAGAAAATGCAGCGCGTTTTCGTATATTGTCTTTGCTGTGGGAAAATGCTGTGTGTTTTCGCAAACTGTTTGCATTGGGGGAAAATACAGTGCGTTTTCGTAAATTGTGCTTGATGTTGGAAAATGAAGCACGTTTTCGTAAATTGTTTGTATTGAGGGAAAATGCAGTGTGTTTTCGTAAATTGTTTGTTGTGGAAAAATGCAGCGCATTTTCGTAAATTGTTAGCATGTTAAGCTCTTTTGGCCACCGAAAGCATTAGATTTTATGTGTAGTAGACTTTCTAGGCTACATATTTTTAGTTTGCAATTCAGAGTTTCTATCTTACAATTCTTACTTTTCTTCACCGCTATAAAAGTCAAAATAACGAGATAAAAAAAAAAAGTCAAAGCTTTTTAAATAGATTTTTTTTACTACATGGAACAAACTTCTAAATATAGAGTACAATAAATAATCCAGAACTGTTAGAAAGCCCTTTAATTTGTAAATTGTAAAATAAAATAAAAAATAAAATACAAATTGCGATATAAAATCTTAGAAATAAACTCTGAAATTTGAGATATTAGTAATCGTTCAAGTCTTACTTGGAGAGTTTATAGACTCTATTTCAATGCAATTCTTGGTTTATATCAAGCAATTCTCATTTTTTCCTTTAGTCAGAATTGGAAGATAAAGTCTCTTTTGCCCTTTTAAATTTCTCTAAAATAAAATAAAATTAGAACTTTAAGAAAGCCTGAAATTCTTTGAAAGTTAATGCTACAACACTTTTTTTTTTTTTTTTTTTTACAGTTTTTTAAAAATTAATTTCTCAAAATTGCAATTTTTTTGTTTAAATCTTACAGTTTGCAATTTTGAGAAATAAAAAAGTGCAAAAAAGCACTTAAACTTGAATTTTGAGAAAAAGTATAAATTGCCAGAAATAATCTCAGAATTACAGGCAAAATTGTGAGAAAGCCTGCAAATTTGCAACAAATTTATTCCAAATCACGATATAAAATCCAGAAATAAAATCAGAAGTTTGAGATTTATTGCGTTTTTCTGCAGTTAAGATTTGTAATCTTTGAACTTTAATTCAGAATTGCATTTTATTTCTTGTAGACAAAATAAGCCTTCTAAACTGTTGTTTTTTTACTACATGGTAGAAACAAACTTCCATCTAAAACACAAATAAATAACTTCTGAACTCAATCAAAACTGTAAGAAAGCCTATAATTTGTAAATATCAAAACTAGCTCAGTGGTTAGCACTGTTGCCTCACAGCAAGAAGGTCACTGGTTCAAGCCCCGGCTGGCTCAATTGGCATTTCTGTGTGGAGTTTGCATGTTCTCCCCATGTTAGCGTGGGTTTCCTCCAGGTGCTCCGGTTTCCCCCACAGTCCAAACACATGCGCTATAGGTGAGTTGGATTAACTAAATTGGCCGTAGTCTATGAGTGTGTATGGGTGTTTCCCAGTACTGGGTTGCAGCTGGAAGGGCATCCGCTATTTAAAACATATGCTGGAAAAGTTGGCGGTTCATTCCACTGTGACAGCTAAGCCGAAGGAAAAGGAGTGAATGAATCTTATCTGAGATATTAGTAATCTATCAAGTCTTTCTTGAAGAGTTTATAGACTCTGTTTCAATGCAATTCTTGGTTCATATCTTAAAATTCACAATATTTTTTCTCTGAAAACTGTTAAAAAGTCAGAATTGTGAGAAAAAAAGTCTAAATTACCCTTTTAAATTTTACTAAACAGCAGAAACAAACTTCCATATAAAACATCCATAAAAACATATGTAAACTTAAAATACTGTCTGGTAATTTTAACAACCTTGTGATTCTCAAGGTTCCCATCTCCCTTCGCTCTCCCTTTATCTCACATGAGCCAAAACATTAATAAGGATCTAATCATGATTTCATATTTCAAGTAAAAGTTGAAGCACACTAGCAAACGAGGGTTAAGGCTGAGAGGTTTTACACTGCTAGCTGAAAGAGGGAGAAGGAAAAGCTATTTTACACACACACGCGCACGCGCACACACACACACACACGTACTTCTGTACATAATCCACATCACCATCATCCCAATCCATTACAAACACTGGATTCCAATGGATACAAAAACCAAGTGTGGAGGTCATTAGACTCGTAACAAACACGTGTTTTATATCGTAACTAGAGCGCAGGAATCGTCTGCTGCTACTGAATGGACGGAAATGATTGACACAAGGCATCGGTTATAACACAGTATTCATCAGGCGATTAAGCCTTTGCAGGACAGTCATGTAAAGGATAAACGTAGAACGCAAAAGGGTGAGATGATTTGGGTTTTGGTAACTAATGCTACACAAACGGTAATGCGTTACCCAGCAGCCTTTATGTTTCTGAGCTTGGTTCAAGGGCACAGTGGTGGTAACTATTAAAAAAGGGTGAATTGTGCACCTAAATGTTCAATTAAAAAAACAAAAATTTGTGTTTTTTAACGATTAATCATGACTAATTGCATTCAAAATACATTGCAATTCCCATTTTGTGTTGTTTAATAATTAACCATGACAAATCGCATAAAAATACATTGTAATTAGCATTTTTTGTGTTGTTTAACAATTAATCGTGAATAATCATACTGAAAACATCGTAATTCGGAATATTTTTTTTGTGTGTTGTTTACAGATTAATTGCATTCTAAGTACATCATCATTCAGGAGATTTTTTTGAATCGCAACTAATCTCAATCAAAATAAATTGTAATTTAGATTTTTTTAGTTTAACGATTAATCGTGACTAATCACATTCAAAATACATCATCCTTCTGGGGAAAAAAAAGACGATTAATCATGACTAATTTTATTTAAAATACATCATTTGGTGGGGAATTTTTTTGTTTTTTAACGATTAATCGTGACTAATTGCATTCAAAACACCATCATTCAGGGGGAAAAATTTGTGTTGCCTGACAATTATTCGTGACTAATCTCATTCAAAATGCATTATCATTACGGGAAAAAATTTGTGTCGTTTAACAATTGATCATGACTAATTGCATTTAAAATACATCGTAATTTGTAGTTTTTTGTGTTGTTTAACAATTAATTGTGAGTAATCATATTCAAAATACATCATCCTTCTGGAAAAAAAAATTGTGTTGTTTGACGATTAATTGTGACTAATTTCAATTAAAATACATAATTTGGTGGGAAAGTTTTGTTTTTTAACGATTAATCGTGACTAATTGCATTCAAAACACCATCATTCAGGGGGAAAAATTTGTGTTGCCTGACAATTATTCGTGACTAATCGCATTCAAAATGCATTATCATTACGGGAAAAAATTTGTGTCGTTTAACAATTGATCATGACTAATTGCATTTAAAATACATCGTAATTTGTAGTTTTTTGTGTTGTTTAACAATTAATTGTGAGTAATCATATTCAAAATACATCATCATTCTGGGGAAAAAACTGTGTTGTTTGATGAATAATCATGAGTATTCGCATCCAAAATACATCATCATTCGGGGAAAAAAAGTTGTGTTGTTTAACGATTAATTAAAAACATCATTATTTAGGGGGGAAATTAATGTTGTCTGTTGATTAATTATGACTAAACGCATTTAAAATACATCATCAATCCAGGAAAAAATTGTGTTGTTTAACAATTAATCGAGACTAATCGCATTTAAAATACATCATTCAGGGGAAGAAATAGTGTTGTTTAACGATTAATCATAACTAATCGCATTCAAAATACATAATTTGGGGAAAAAATGTTGTTTAACGATTAATCACATCTAATCACATTTGAAATACATTTCGATTCTGGATTTTTGTGTGTGTAGTTTAACAATTAAACGTTGCTTATTGCATTCAAAACACAGTCATTTGGCAAGAAAAAATGACTGGTGTTTAATGACTAATCGGATTCAAAATACATCGTCATTCGCATTTTTTTTTTGTTTAATGATTATTCATGACCAGTCTGATTCAAAATACATCGTCATTCATTTTTTTTTTTGTTTAATGATTATTTATGACCAGTCTGATTCAAAATACATCGTCATTCATTTTTTTTTGTTTAATGATTATTCATGACCAGTCTGATTCAAAAATCCATCGTCATTCGTTTTTTGTTTTTTTGTGTTGTTTAATTTTTAATCCTGAATAATCGCCTTCTAAATCCATCATCGTTTAAGGGAAAAAACTGTGCTGTTTAACGATTAATCATGACTAATCGCATTCAAAATACATCGTTATTTGGGATAGAGGGGTGAGGGGTGCTGTTTAACGAATAATCGTGACTAATCGCATTCAAAATAAAAGTTTGCAATTTTTATGGGTAATTATTATTTATTTGTATGCGATTAGTCATGAGTAAATGTTGAACAGCAATTATCTAAAATGTTACAAATATTTTAGAAATAATTTTTTTTAAAACCATTAAGATATTTTTGTATCATTTTGTATTTGTTTTGCTTTTATTCATTTCTTTAATGCAATTTGGAATATTTTTTTTTGTGTATTTCTTGCAAGAAGACTCTTGTTAGCACAATACAATATCTTGTATTGCATTAAACTAAATTATTATCCCTAATTCAAACCTTAAAGTAATTATAGTGAAATAAGCACATTTTTGAAGCTTCGTCAGAATTAATATGTAATTTTTTTATTTTTTTGGCTTTTTTCTCGCAACTCTCATGTTCACTGTTCATGTTGAATTAGATTGTGAATTTATATTTTACAAATTAGAGTTTACATAGACTTTTGAATATGTCTGAACTTCAGATTTTGTTCTCAGAATTCTATATTTCCATTTCTATATTTCAGAAGTCTATATTTTTAAAATCGTAAAAAAAGACAGAATTTCAAGGTATAAACTTAAAAAAGTGAAGAATAAAGTCCGAAGGAAAAAAAAAGCTTATAAATCTTTCATTTAAAAGATTAAATCAAAATACTCTTCCTCACGTCGTTCCAAATCTGTACGACATTCTGTTTGTTACGTCAAACAAAAAAGAAGATATTTTAAAGAATGTTCAAAAGCAAACCATCCCGATTTCCACTGACTGAAGTCAATGGGAACCAGGATGGAAAATACTTTCAATTGTTTTCCACAGAAGAAACAAGTCGCGCAAACCTAAAAAGAAGAAAAGACTTATAGTCTTTGTGAGTGTAAATAATGATCCTATTTTTGGTTAAACTATCAGAACGGAATCTTCTGATGTAGAAAAGCACATGTGCATGAAGAAACTAATATTAAAACAATGTGTCGTCCGTCATTTGATCACTTTTCCTCTCGACATCCACTTAAGAATAGTCAAAGTAAGAAAAACACACGCTTTGATCATGTTAACACTGCTAATTCTCGCTGTACGCTAACATTAAAGTCATGACGGATTTACATGATACAAATGACACTACGTTTCCTAAAATCTGACGTCACGATGAGGGGAAGTCATGTGGTTTTTCGGCGAGCAGCAGCTGTATTTTTAAGAAGAGACGGGTTTACATGATGCTGAGGCTGCGATTGAGCTCTGCACACTGGCCGTTGTTGTTGTTGATGTTGGGATTGTGTCGTGTGGCTGTGGGTGTGGATAAAGCGCCACCTTCAGCAGGACAGCCGTGTTGGATCAGGATGTCGGCGCACTCCTGACTGCCTGCTCGCTGGGCGTAAGACAGAGGTGTCTGACCGCGTGCGTCACGACTCTTCACGTCCACACCGTACTAGAAAAACACAGGGACACAGGGGGGATTAGTGCTGTCCAATGGGCTGCTTCATGTAGCCCGTGCTTTCACTTTGTAAATAGTGCTCATTTATTTGCACTGATTAATTATTTTAATTGATTAGACCGCAATGTATCATTGAGCTACAAGTATCAAAGGGGACATATTATGTACTTTTTTAAAAGGTGTAAAATAAGTCTCTGACATTCCTAGAGTGTGTATGTGAGGTTCCAGCTTAAAATACCACACAAATAATATTTTATAACTCTCTGAAACTGATTCTGTTAGGCTTTGATCGTAATTGTGCAGTTTTGGTGACTGTCGCTTTAAATTTAAAAAATCTTTTCAATAGAGGGCGGAGTTACAAATGCCTGTGTGTCAGCATAGTTTCAAAAACAAGACTATTGTCGTATGCTAATGAGCAAGAGATGGTCACTAGCGGGCAGGGCTGTCACTAATGGGGAGAATGTCAATCGAAGTGTTTCTGCACAGTTTTTATTAAGTGTGGTTTAAAAAAAAAAACATAATTTTTAACCATTAGAAGCTGGTTATATTTACAAACTGTTGCCACACAACTGTGTTTGAATCCCTTATAAAAGTGTTTTTTGCATTATAGGTCGCCTTTAAATTAATTGTGCCTTTTTTTAACTCTTAAAGTGTGGGTAGCCGCTGACTTGCATTTAATGAATCAAGACCACAGTTTCCATTAAAAATATTCTTTAAAAAAGTCACTATACTGTTAAAAAAAGAATGTATAAGTCATTCAGAGTAAAAAAGAATTATGAGATCAAAAATTTTAAAAGATAATCAAGTTTCAACGTAATTTAGTAACTCTTTATTTTGATGGTCCCTATTGCACATTTTGTTGACTAAAAGTTGCAACTGCATGCCAAATAGTTCTTCATTGAGTATTAGTAGACTGTCTGCTCAATATCTGCTGATACTGCTCCTTCAACAGACATTTAGGGCGTACTCACACTATGCTATCCGAACCGTGCCCAGGGCCATTTTCTGGATCCTTTGAGAAGTGTGAGTGGTCTAGAATCGGGCTCAGGCACGGTTGAGCGCGGTTGACTTGGGCTTTGGCGCGGTACATCTGTGTGTGAGTGCAAAATGCGCCTGAGCCCGAAACTGAAAGTGAGACATCACTTTTAAGGAACTATTTCATATTGATTTATTAATCAATCTTACTGTTCAATGAACGCAAACTGTCGTAGGTTATTAAAGACGCAAACCCCTCACTAGGCACGAAAGCTGCTCACCTTAAGCAAACCTCTTAATTCCTGCAGCACGAGGACTTTAAGATTGATTATGAGCGTCAAATGTGGCTGATCTGTTCGGCGAAATATTTGGCTGCGTGTCACTGCATATTAAACGACATAACTAAAGAAATCTCCACTGTGCTGAGCGTCGGCGAGAGCGTTTCTGACCTGTGCAGCATCGATGACTTAAGCTTGCCCAAGCCCGAATGTAATGTGAAAGCGGGCCAGCAGGGGAGACGGGAGAGGGGACAAGCGTGCTTTTGCCCGGTTCAAGGCAGCTGTACATAGTGTGAGTACGCCCTAAGAATTTTTGCAAGTACATGTCAACTTACACTAACCCTAACCTAATAGTCTACTTATAATCCAATGAGAATTAGTTGGCATGTACTGTACATGCAATGTAACTCGAATTCAACAAAATGTGTTAAAGGGACCATCAAAATAAAGTGATAGCTTTCATTTTTTTTAAGCAACACATATTAATTTATGCAAGCAGACATTTATGACATTTATTGATTTATTAAATTATAATAAATACCAAAGATATTTACAGTGCAACAATTGAAGTTTTAAAGTACTCAATTTAAAAAAGTGAATCTGCTTAACTTGATTTAAGTTAGATTAGATTTAACTAGATTTTCATTTAGTTTTGATTGTAATGTTAGTTTAAGTTGACTTAAGTATTAGCAAAAACAACACTGTAAAAAACACAGGGTTCCACACAATTCATTCATGTTGTCCCGACACAAATTAAGTTAACCTAACACTTTTAACAAATTTTATGTGGATTGGACATACAAAAAATAAGTTTTTGTATTAACATTATTTCTTATACACATTTCGTAATTTCCATTCTCTGTATGTCCTGTACATGTGGTTGAATTGACAATAAAGCTGACTTTGACTTTTGACTTATATCAAGAAATATCAAGAATTGTGTTGTTTCAGCTCATTTTAAATAAGTAGTTTGAACGATCAAAAAAAAAAAAAAAAAAAAAAAAATATATATATATATATATATATATATATATATATATATTAGCCCCGTTAAATTATTAGACCGCTTGTTTATTTTTTCCCTAATTTCTGTTTAAGGGAGAGAAGATTTTTTCAACACATTTCTAAACATAATAATTTTAATAACTCATTTCTAACAACTGATTTATTTTATCTTTGCCGTGATGACTGTAAATAATATTTTAAATGATATTTTTTAGACACTTCTATACAGCTTAAAGTGACATTTAAAGGCTTAAGTAGGTTAATTAAGTTAACTAGGCAGGTTAGGGGAATTAGGCAAGTTATTGTATAACAGTGGTTTGTTTTGTAGACTATGAAGAAAAAACATAGCTTAAAGAGGCTAATAATTTTGTCCCTAAAATGGTTCATAAAAAATTCAAAACTGCTTTTATTCTAGCCAAAATAAAACAAATAAGACTTTCTCCAGAAGAAAAAATATTATCAGACATACTGTAAAAATGTCCTTGCTCTGTTGAACACCATTTGGAAATTATTTAAAAAAGAAGAAAAAAAATCGAAGGGGGCTAATAATCCTGACTTCAACTGTATATATATATATATATATATATATATATATATATATATATATATATATATATATATATATATATATATATATATATATAAAAAGGTTTGAGTGTATGATCTTTATTTAAAGTAGTTCATGTGTTTAAGATTAAAGTTAGATTAGACTTAGCTTGATGTTAATTTAGTTAGGTAATATGAACGTTAAAATGAATTCAAATGAACTCAAATGTACAGTGCAACAATAAGTTTTTTGTGTTCTTGATTTAAAAAAGTCAATATGTGTTTTTTTTCTTGAATTAAGTTAGATTAGAAGTTAACTAGATGTTTATTTAGTTAGTTGATTGTAATGTTAGTTTAAGTTGACTTAAGTATTAGCAAAAACAACATACACCGTGAAAAAATGCTGGGTTCCACACAATTCCTTCATGTTGTCCAAACACAAATCGATTAACTTAGTCACTTTTGCAAATGTAAGTCGATTGAACATAAGACAATTGAATTGTAACCCCAAAAACTTAAGAATTGTGTTGTTTCAACTCATATTAAATAAGTAGTTTAAATAGGCAGCAAAAGCAGTTTTTATCGTTTATGTGTTTAAGATTAAAGTTAGATCAGACTTAACTTGATGTTACTTTAGTTAGTTAATATGAACGTTAAAATTAATTAAAATGAACTCAAATGCACAGTGCAACAATATGTTTTTTGTGTACTTTATTTCAAAGTTAGTAAAGATGTAAAGTTAGTTTGATTAATCTTTATAAAAGCCTTTAATATCTCAGATTCGGTGCCAGTAGGAGTAAATTCAAAGCAAGTTTTAATTTTTCACCACATTCACTCTATACTCAGTACTAACTGATTGGGAATCCTGGAACTGTAACACTTTTTAAAAGTTCTGACTACAGTGGTCATGTATTTTAACATTTTATTATGTTTGAATTTGGACAATTTCTGCACTGAAATTCAGTCATTAAACTAAGAATCCACACAATTGAGAATTTTAGGATTCCTGAGTTCAAGATGAATCTGTGAGTTGTGCTTCATACGTTCCTTCATTAATAAAGGAGGCAAAAATAATAATGTCAGAAGCTGTCTTCTGTGAATCATGGTAAAAAAAAGAAGACATGATTTATTTAGTTTTTAATTAGAAAAATGCAATTAAACACTTAAATCAATTGCTTTGATATGTAAAAACCCATTTTTAACCCACTGAAAAAACCTAAAGACTCATTTGAGTAAATGAGAACCAGGACTATTATTATACATCTATTATACTACAGTAAATGTATCTATACATGTATTCTGTAGAGAAGTGTAAGACTGAAATCGAGTGTGTTTCCTTACCCAGATAAGCAGCTGTGTGATAACCACATTAGCCATGGCGCAGGACAGGTGCAGGGCTGTGCGTCCGTCTCCATCCCCGTAGGTCTCGTTGACCTCTTCTTTGGTGCCGTGGGCCAGCAGGAGCACCACCAGCCGCAGGTCGTCCTCCACCACGGCCCGCAGGAGTTGCTGTCCCAGCGGCACGTCTGACTGAGGCAGAGCCACCACAAACAGCTTCTGCTCATACTTTGCCCGGATCCAGCGCTCCTTCTCCTCCCTGCCAAAAACCAAACACACAAGGATCAAACGTTAGTGCTTTTATTCTTGTAAAATAAAAAAAAAGACATTTTGTTGTGATTTTGATTAAAATCAGCATGTCATATTTTCAAATATTTCAGGACTTCAGATTTTGTTCTCAGAATTCTATATTTCTATTTCTATATTTCAGAAGTCTAAATTTTTAAAATCGTGAAAAAAGACAGAATTTCAAGGTATAAATTTAAAACAGCGATAAAGTCCGAAGTGAGAGAAAGCTTATATATCCTGAACTTCCAACGTTTCTGAGAACATTTGTCAGAATCTCTCATTTTAAAAGACAAACTCAAAAATCCAAATACTCCTCACATCGTTCCAAATCTGTGCGACTTTTTGTTACGTCAAACAAAAAAGAAGATATTTTGAAGAATGTTAAAACAAAACCATTCTGATTTCCACTGACCTACAAAAAACAGAAAGGAAATCAATGGATATTAAAATATAATAAATTATATTATAAAAAATAATATATAAAAATTTATTGAAAAAAAAAATCATAAATAAAAAATGACAAACTACAACATTTTATTTAAATGTAACTTTTTTAATGCTTATCTTGATTTTTTCTCTTTGATAAAAATTTGTATTTGATTTTGCATAATTGGTTTTCTGGGTAGCACGGTGGCCCAGTGGTTAGCACTGTCGCCTCACAGCAAGAAGGTCGCTGGTTCGAGTCCCGGCTGGGTCAGCTGGCATTTCTTTGTGGAGTTTGCATGTTTTCCCAGTGTTTGCATGGGTTTCCTTCGGGTGCACCGGTTTCGCCCACAAGTCCAAAGACATACGCTATAGGTGAATTTAGTAAACTAAATTGGCTCTAGTGTATGTGTGTGAATGAGTTTGTATGGGTGTTTCCCAGTGGTGGAGTTGCAGCTGGAGAAGGGCATCCGCTGCAAAAAACATATGCCGAGTACGTTGGTGGTTCATTTCACTGTGGCGACCCCAGATTAGGGACTAAGCCAAAAAGAAAATGAACGAATAAATAAATATATATAAAAACATTATATACATATATATATATACATATATATATATATATATATATATATATTTTTTTTTTAATTGACATCAAAAACAAACACAAAAATGACAGTTCTGCATATAATGTACTACATATATTAAATGAATATTATTATTTATTTGATATATTATATATTAAAAGCTTTAATGCAATAAATAAAATCACAAATAAATAAAAAATCTATTTTTTATTATATACAATACTACTTTAAAATAAAAAAGTAACATCAAAAACTAAAACACAACAGAAGTTTATTTTTTATTTATATAATATATTATATAATACAAATTTACTTTCATGCAATAATTACAAAAGTAAATTAATTATATACAGTTGAAGTCAGAATTATTAGTCCCCCTTAGACTTTTTTTTTCTTTTTTTAATTTTTACCAAATGATGTTTAACAGAGCAAGGACATTTTCACAGTATGTCTGATAATATATTTTTTTGTTCTGGAGAAAGTGTTATTTGTTTTATTCCAGCTAGAATAAAAGCAGTTTTTAATTTTTTAACACCATTTTAAGGACAAAATTATTAGCCCCTTTAAGCTATATATTTTTTGATAGTCTACAGAACAAACCATCATTATACAATAACTTGCCTAATTACCCTAACCTGCCTAGTTAACCTAATTAACCTAGTTAAGTCTTTAAATGTCACTTTAAGCTGTATAGAAGTGTCTTGAAAAATATCTAGTCTAATATTATTTACTGTCATCATGGCAAAGATAAAATAAATCAGTTATTAAAAATGAGTAATTAAAACGATTATGTTTAGAAATGTGTTGAAAAAAATCAGCTCTCTGTTAAACAAAAATTGGGGAAAAATATAAACAGGGGGGCTAATAATTCTGACTTCAACTGTATAAGGTGCAAATGTTAATTAGAATTCACAAACAGTACTATATGACTATAGTTTATTTACTCATCCAGCATATGTTTTATGCAGTGGATGCCCTTCCAGCTGCAACCCAGTACAGGGAAACACCCATAAACTCTTACATTCACACACAATCATACACTACAGCCAATTGATTTAATCCAGTTCGCCTATAGCGCATGTCTTTGGACTGTGGGGGAAACCGGAGCACCCGAAGGAAACCCACACCAACACAAGGAGAACATACAAACTCCACACAGAAATGTCACCTGGTCCAGCCAGGACTCGAACCAGTGGGCTTCTTGCTGTGAGGCAACAGTGCTAACCACTAAGCCACCGTGCCACTCAACTACATCACTTTATTAAGTGTAAATATGTTGATCATTTATATTACATAACTGAAACATGCCAATATAGATATACACAACTAATAAAAGTTCTGCTTTTCTTTCACCATATATACCTTGTATATACACAACCTCTGTTTACACACACTTTTACATGCTGGATCTTGATACACTTGATAAACTTTGCGATTTATAAACCCATAATCCCAGCAGATTCCATATTTCTGACATAATCCTATCAGCTCCTCCAAGTCCAGGGTAATTCAGTCCTGATTATGACAGAGGTCACAAGGGAAGAAGGTTAAACGTACAAATCAGACACACACACACTCTGATTTACCATCAGAACACGCAGGGTTAAAGTCTGTCTGGCTATCGAAAGGTTACACATTGTGAACAGCATGTCTACGCTGGACAATACTGAAGCGTCTATGTGTGTGTATGTGTGTGTGTGAGGGAAAGCCAGTGTTTTTATCGCCGCTGTCAGTGTTGGTGAATCCCCACAATGGCGGCCCCCTCAGCACTGGCCCCTCAAACCCTCTAGGGGCCCGTCGGCAGCCCGCCAGATCCGAAAGCAAAAGAAAAGGGCTGAAAGAGACACACTCGGCCCAGAGAATGGCCTTCTATCTGCGGCTCTCTATCACCCGCCGGCCCCCCGCTCCTCGCTCATGCTGGCATTCAGGGGGTACGGCGCTAAATTAAAATCGATACGAGGCGCGTGTGAGCATGCTCAGTGCCTGACTGACCCGCTGACCCGGTGATAAGGAGAGCAGAAAGGAGCCGTTGTTTAGCCGGTCAGGGTGACTGACAGACAGACGGAGAGAGAAAGAGAGAGAACTGATAGAGTCTGCAGAGATGAAGGTGATGGATGGAGATCTGAGACACTGGAGCACAACATCACCAGCTGAAGAGCCAACAAACAGCCGGGAGAGTAAATAATGACCGGTTATTCTGATGGAAATGTACACTTGTCTATATTTACACAGCTCTGTTATGATGCTCTTAAAGTGCACCTGAAATCAAAACTAGCCATATTTGATTTTGTTAGCTCACATTGGTAGTTTTGTGGTGAACAATTCATCTGGGAATGTAATTGGGAAAAAAATATAGTTTGCCATTGCGATCTAAAACTAAAATCTGAAAATGCACTGTTTGTTTTCAGTTAAATTCTCATATTACGTCTGTCTGAGGCATTGGGCGTGGCTAACATACTTAACCACACCCCTCCAGCTGTCAGTTTTGACAATCCGCTTGTTAAGTGTGACGTCATGCAAGCGGCTTCCGGGTCCAAGCGCTCTATTCAACTGAATGGGGAGACTCATGAAATGGTAATAATAAACGTTTACAAAGTGATTTAAGGCTTTCGAAAATCACGATCGCAGTATATATGTCCATGCCTAATTTCCGATAGCCAGAAAGAGATAAATTTTTTTATAAATTGTTAAATTTTTGGTATTTGTTATGCAGCAAGCCCAGAGATTGTTGTGTACACTATGACTTTATATAAAATTAACTTTAATGTGTGATAGGAATAAAACGCGATCATAAACGAGTGATTTCTCCACTCAAATGAATGGTGGCTTGGACCCGGAAACAGCATACATACGTCACAAACATGTCACCACTTAACAAGCGGATAAACAGAAATGGTGAGGAGGAGGTGTCTGTCAGGTTGTAATAACTCTTCTAAAATCCTTTTCTTAATCTTTCTGAATGAAATGCTTAATTTACTACATCCAATCAGCTCACAGTACAAAAAACAAGCCACACTCACTGTTTTCTCATTTAATACTGCGCTTATCTAGGAACCGCCTCACAATATGAAAAAAAAAAAAAAAAAAAACAGTCTCAGCTTCCGGTTCATGTGGACTTCATTGCGTTTTACTCAGCCTTATCTCATGAGGAAACATAACTATTTTACGTTTTATCAGTTTAGTGGGCAATTTGTACGAATTTATGTGAGTTGAGTTGTGCTAAAATGTACCATTGTATGGCCTAATGTGCCAAAAATTTCTTGAGTTTAATAAAGGGAAAAGTGAAGTCATTGTGTTTGGGAACAGAGATGAGATTCTCAAGGTAAATGCGTACGTTGGCTCTAGGGGTCAAAAAACAAAAAAATAGGGTCAAGAATCTTGGTGTGATTCTGGAGTCAAATCTAAGTTTCAATAGTCATGTCAAAACAGTCAGTAAATCAGCATACTATCATCTCAAAAACATCGCAAGAGTTAGATGCTTTGTTTCCAGAGAGGACTTTGAGAAACTTGTTCATGCTTTTATCAGCAGCAGGGTGGATTACTGTAACAGCTTCCTCACTGGCCTTCCCAAAAAGACATTCAGTCAGTTACAGCACATCCAGAACGCTGCGGCCAGAATTCTGACCAGAACCAGAAAATCAGAGCACATCACACCTGTCCTCAAGTCTTCACACTGACTCCCAGTTACATTCAAAATAGATTTTAAAGTATTACTACTTGTCTATAAATCACTAAATGACCTAAGAGCTAAATACATTCAAGATTTGCTCACTGAATACAAACCTAACAGATCACTCAGATCTTTAGGATCAAATAAACTAGAGATTCCAAGAGTTCAGTCAAAGCAGTGTGAATCTGCTTTCAGCTACTACGCCCCCCACTGCTGGAATCAGCTTCCAGAACTGATCAGATGTGCTCCAACATTAGGTACATTCAAATCAAGCCTGAAAACGCATCTGTTTAG